AGGAGTGTCCCATAAGAGTGTTCTACAAGAGTGCGCCAAGAGTGTCTCAGAAGAGTGTGCCACAAGAGCGTCCTACAAGTATGTCCCGCTAGGTGTCCCAGAAGAATGCCCCACAAGAGTGCCGAAAGAGTGAACAACAAGGGTGTCTTACAAGAGTGTGCCGGAAGAGTGTCCCACAATAGTGTCCCGCAAGAGTGCTCGACAAGAGTGCCCTACAAGAGTGCCCCACAAGACTCTTCCATGAGAGTGTCGGACAAGAGTGCCCCACAAGACTCTTCCATAAGAGTGTCCGACAAGAGTGCCCTGCAAGAGTGGCCGACAAGAGTGTCCTACCTACAAGGGTGTCTCACAAGAGTGTCCTATGAGTGCCCCACAAGACTTTTTCCACAAGAGTGGCCGACAAGAGTGTTCTACAAGAGAGTCCCACAAGAGTGTCCTACAAGGGTGTCCCACAAGAGTGTCATTTGGAACTGTCCGGCAAGAGCGTCTGTCCCACAACAGTGTCCTGCAAGAATGTTTGACAAGGTTCCCGACAAGAGTGTCCTACAAGAGCACTGAGAGAAGCGACTGGCCACCTGGTAGTACAAATGTAGTGCGGCAAGCAGCTTCTGGGAGCTGTAGAACTGGCAGCTTTGTAGTACAAATGTAGTACGGGAAGCAGTTTCTGGGAGCTGTGGTCTCAGAACTGTCAACTTATGTGGCCAAACTACATCTGTCCCGCAAGAGTGTTGCACAAGAGTCCACAAGAGTGTCCCACAAGAGTGTCCTGCAAGAGTGTCCCACAGAGTGAAGAAAGTGTCGCGCGAGAGTGTCCCACAAGAGTGTCCTGCAAGAGTGTCCCACAGAGTGACGAACGTGTCGCACGAGACTGTCCCATAAGAGCGTTCTACAAGGGTGAACATTTTGGGTGTCAGTCTTCGAGTACATGTATGCATTCGGGCTCTTGGGATTCATTTTGTTTTTCAATAACATTCTGTGGTTGACGCAGTGCGTGTTGTAATCAGTTGTTGTTTTTGAGATCATGTGTGTGTATTGTAGCAGCTTCAAGGGAATGATGGGGAGTTCCAACTCCCCTGATGGACCAGTGTCAAGATGATGATTCTATTCGTTTTCGGATCAGGCACTGCCAAATACTACACAGGTGAGACTTTTCCCGAAGGCTCTACAGAGTTTTCATGTTTAGAATATTTCCGGCAAAATACAGGTTTTTTGTTTCATCCATATGTTTAGTTTCGTTGTCATGCATTGATTGTACAAGTCTTATCGTTTCTATAAGGTCTTGTTTGTACAATCATGTCTCCTCCCCTTTCCAGAATCTCCTTCATGAAATTGTTTGCTACATGAGTGCCCGCTTGGAACAAAAATCATTCAAATTATGTAAGAACCTCATCTTTGCAAAGAGAGTCTCCCTTTCCAACTGTATTTGTTTTGAATGGCCGTACTTCCACAATTTTAGTTGCGCTGCTCTCGCAGTGTCCTGAACCTAAACGAAAGCTCTTGGTATCCATGCATGCACCCGTGTCTTTTTTGAAGCACCAGCCTAAAGAGACACTGCCTTTGTATAATCTTAATTGTTGAAGTCTAGGATCAGGGTCATGTGGATCACAAGCACTTCCACAAGACCACCCCCTCCGTGTTCATAGACAAACGCATTCATTGATTCATTGGTTGATTGAGTGATTGATTCATTCATTCGTTCATTCATTTGGGCTGCACAGTTGCTGGGCAGTGATGCTTTTAGAATGGTTCAGCCCAAGTAGCCTCATGGTGAGTCTCTTGCTACTCTTGACCTTGTTTAGCACACCCAACAAAGAGCGATTTCTTATATTTTGTCTTGGACTGAACCTATGCAGGATGTAGGCCTGGGTTCTTCGCAAACGTTGTCGGATGAGAGTACAACCGTCCCAAACGAGAAGTCCAGCAAGTCCGCTGTTTTGCCAGACTGTTTCAGAGTTGACTCAAAGTATTCCAAAGTATGTACCTCACCGGTTCACATCCATAAAAGGCATTGAGAAACAGCAAGCAACGTGTTGGAGGCCATCGCCATCACTACTAGGTTGGAGGCCATCTCTAGTAGGTTGGAGGCCATTACAATTTAATTAGGTTATGTTTAGTTGTTTGATATTCGTTCAAATTGTTCCCCAGTGTATATAGATATACATTGTATTTGTCACTCGCCTTCCATTTATTGGAACTCAAAACAGGTGCATGACTATATGCACGACACACTGCAAATATTGTAGAATTGTAAAGGAGACAGAAGTTCAAGGCGGTAAACCATGTATACAATGTACAGTTATAATCATCTATACATAAACACCAACATAGGACATATATATATATATATTATATACGTATATACATAATAGCATATTATATGCATGATCACTAGTGATGTCGCATCATAAACTTCAGTTTGCATACAACATGTGTTTTTGGAGAATGGCTGAACACCTCTCACCGTCAGCGGTGGCTTTTTGCAAACGTGTCAGTGAGACTTCTCCAGGGGTGCTCCAAGGGGACTCCTCCAATTCCAAGGGTCACACTCTGACCCACTCACATGGAAGGATGGCATAGGCCCCTTTAGGCACAGAGAGTGAACTCTACACATGTTAGTGAATGGGAGTGCACCCCTTGGGATTTCCTGGTTGACACAAGGTTCGTAGACTGCAAGGGTGGAGAATGGGCAGAGTGAGAATTCCTAGTTGGCACACTGTTCAGGTCGGCTCTCGCGAGGAAGCCGTTGGATGCCGTCTTTGTCCTGCAGGGAGATCGTCTCAGTTTTTGGCAGATGAGATTGGGCAGACTCACCAGTGCGTTTCTGGGCTGTCGCTGTGTATCGGGAAACCTTGCTGGGTTTTGGCTTGCTTTTAACTTTTACAGGAGGTTTTGCCGGGGTCTCCCTATTCTAACACACACCCGGTCTTGCATGGTTTGAACATCATTGAAATTGGCAAACCATGAAGCACTTGATCGGGGGTTCAGATATCAGGTTATGTGCCCGCCTGGCCAGCACCAAAGCCAAATTGGCAAAGAGCGGTGTCTTCTTTGCGACCCTGGGACCTTCGCAGCAAATGAAGGGCAGGCTCTTTGCTCACCATGTGGCCGTGGTTCATATGCTCCATTTGCAGGAATGAGCTCTTGCCTGAGGTGTGGAAATGACACCGATTTCAGGACGACTACAACTCTTGCAGACGATGGGAATGAGAAGAAGTGGATCGAAGTGCAAGGAGCCATCTCAGAGTCCTATTGCCGTTGTGCCTTGGCGTCGAGAACGGGACTGGGTGGACCAAAATGTAGCTTTGGACCGGTATGTAGTGTGCCTACCACTGGACAGCCCTGCACCAACCTGGGCGCCCTGCATGGAACTGAGAGACACGCCAACCTGGTTTTTCCTATCGTGTGCGGGGCCCGGAATTTTGCAAGGATCACCCATCACTGGGAGTCACCAGCTTTGGCCGCGGCCTTGAATAATCAGTTCGACAGTAACACGACCGCACATCCTCAGCATGTAGTTCAACACTTCAAACAGACCCTCATCCGCATCCCAACACGTCCCAACCACCTGAAAGGCATGTTTGTGGATTTTCAGGGATAGTTGTAGCGTGTTGTAGCTGCGCCAGATGGGTGGCATTAAGTTGCTTACGAACACGTCTCACAAGTGCGTAGGTACAGTTGGTGCACTACTGAGTCTTTGATCATCAAAACAGCACTTGCCAGCGTCCCGCACGCTGGAACCGGCAACCGACTTCTGTAGTAGAGACCATTTTAGTGCAGATGTGCGTCATTTAGGGAGTCGTTAGTCGTTTTGAGATCTGCTCCCAATGGTCCAGTTCGGGTTTCGTATGCTCTCGTTTGTGCTGCTTAAGCCATGCCCAGAGGATCCCAGGTACCACTATATAAGGAACCAGGACTTCTAGCTTTGTGTTTGTTTTTCTTTGGAACCACCGGTGACCGGCCTTGGTGGTTTGCCTGGATCATCCTGGATCCCTGGACCGATTCTTCTCTATATGTAGCGATGGCCCTCCAGCCTAGAAGCCGTGGCCCTCCAGCCTAGAAGCGATGGCCCTCCAACCTTATTCTATCTTTGCTTTACTCCCTCCGGTTGACTCACTGTAGTGGACAATTGTAAAGTGGAGACTCAAAGTTTTAGAGGGCAGTGAGCTCGAGAGGCAGGCTGTTTGCAGCCAAACAGATCTGTTCCCAAAAGGACGTCTTTGATGCAGGGCCATCCAAGTAGGAGACGACTTGTCGAAAAGCTAATTCATATTTTCTGAGGTGCTCCTGGCCGCTTTTTGCAAAATGGCACGTGCCTGCCGTGTGGCACGGGGTCCTCATGCCCTGGGTCCAATGCTTTGGAAGTTCTGCCGGGTTTCCATTCCAAGCCGAATGAGCCAGCAGTACTTTTCCAATGCTTCTCGGCTGCTTTCCTAGGCCCAGCACATTCAGTTACCTGATAAATGATTGGGTGACATCACGAAGACATGTCGGGTCCCTGGGTTTATTGTTATTTTTGAGCAACACCCACAACATACCATATTTGCACCACTGGAGACAACAAAGCACATTTGCTTCGCCACCATATGAAGACAACCGAGATCCATTTGACTTTGCTTTCCTCCCACACTGTAAGACAAACAATCCTACACCTATAGCGGGTGCGTTTCACCCACCCCAGGCCCAATACGGCCGCCACAACTAGATGTTTAGCGCAATCAAAGTTATGCATCTGGATTTTCTTGTCGTGCTGCTTCCCGGACCCGACCAAGGTCCCAGGCCACGGTCCCCAAGGTCTGCCTAGTCGGCAGATTCTGCCAGGGGGGCGAATTCCTCATCTTTCTCCCCGAAGACAAAGGACAATCTTTTTTCCAACCCTTTTTGAACTGCATCCGGTCGGCAGCCTGATTCGTTGATGAATCAGGGAACGGGAAGGAAGAGTCTTCAGTTCTGCAGTCCTAGCCCTGCTATCTCTAGGGGGTACCTATTCCATAAACAACTATCAAGGTTCTATACTAGTAGGTTGGAGGCCATCGCTACTAGGTTAGAGGCCATCGCTACCTTGGGGGAGTTTGAGGAATGTGGGCGCCAAGTCTTGATGCGGACCAGTGAGGCTTTGGTAATCCTGCGCGGTGCCCGGGAGGCGTACCCGGAACTTGTGCCAGTGGATGGGATAGCCATAGTCCTGGTTGCAGTGAGTGCCTTACAGGCTTGCAACCGAGTGGTGCAGAATGCCTTCCTTGCTCAGCAGGAGACTTGGAGCACTTGTTCGGCTTAAGTTCCTGACCCGTTGAGTTCCTGCCCCGGTGTGGAGCCGAAAGATCCCTTCCATGTTCGGACCCAACTTCAAAAGCCGGTCTCAAAGGGGTCCGGACTGACAGACACCCACCCATTTTCCCCACCCTGTCCGACCAACTGCACAGATGACCTGCAGCCTCGCATGGCCTCGCAGTCGCACCCTTTTTTCAGCCTGGCCCCGCCTCTTTTTGGTATGGCTGTGACCCTTCCTTCTTCGCGCTTCTTCGACACGTGCACGCACAATACTGAGGTGACTATTTCCGTTTGCTTTTCTTTGGTTTGCTCGTGATCTTTGCCACCGGCGTAATGCACATACTGATCAGTGTGGGTGGCCACGGCAGCAACCGCTTGCAAAGCAGACTTGTGACTGCAGCCTTGTGCTTGAACCCTGGAATAGATCAATGATAAGTATTACAATATTAAACACTTTCAAAACATGTATATATATACAATATATATATATATACACATGATGTTATTTGTATACGGCACTGTTCATATAGTTTGACCTTGGGATTCGTGGAACATCCCGGAAAGCATTGGAAAATGTCGACAATACTAAATATGATTAAATAGGTCTGATAATTAACACGTCCACTACAGGAAAACAGTCTCGTTTTCAGGCCCGGCGTTCTTGTGAACCAAACAACCCACCTCGGTCAGCCTATAGTTTTCCCTCTTCTAAAAGTCCTGTTCCAGGGAAGCTATATACACTTGTCCTTTCTGTCCTGTGAGCCAAGTCAGCCCCTTCCAAGGAGCCATTTAGTCACCTTTGCCCAGTTGCTGGCGGTGATGAGGCAGATTCAGGCTGTGAAGTGGATGGAGCTTCGTCCAAACTGGCACACCCTGAAACATCAAGAAAGCAATCCCTTGGAAGTCTAAGACTATTTTATTAAACTTGTCCTTGGGCTACCTGAAGAGGCATTTCCTTCTGGGGAATCTTTACTTCAACAACAAAACACGGGCTTTCAACATTTGGCTTTGATGGCTGAATCGCCTTATTTAGGAGCCCCTCTGTCCACTGGTGGCTCATGTTTTTTCGGCAGATGCAACCGCTTCTGCTTGTGGGAGATCCAAAAAGCGGGGATTGGGGGGAGCTTTCGCTCAAGACTTGGAGACTTGGCATCCGTCACGGCTTGGAAGCCGATTGGTCGTTTCCAGGTGATTGCAGAGAAGAGGATCAAAGGTCTATTCTTTCTTGAACGTGATCGAACTTGATTCCTTGGTTTGAGATCGCTTATGCCTGAAAAAGGTCACTAGATGGGACTCCAAAAAGGTAACTTTAAAGAAGCCGGAGTGTGGCAATTTGAACTGCCGCTAATAAGGAGCCTTTTCTAAGCATTCTGGAGTTCTTCAACATCTTTTCCATGGAATCATTGTTGAGTTCTTTGTGGAGCATCAATTGCTTTGCCAGCTTGACACCAGCAGCAAATTTCTTGACTCGAGCTCTTTTGCTTCCCTTGTTCTTTGCGCTGGGGCCCGCTTGTGCACACATCAGCTTCATTCATGTTTCTCAGACCGCAGCGAGCAGCGAGAGCCGTTTCGATAGTCGACCGACATCAATCGACAAAGACTTGCCTGCAGGCCAACCACAAACCCACATGGCAAATCTCCATTCTGATCGGGACTTTGGGCTCCCTATGCCTGCTTTTCTTCATCTTGATTTGCTTTGTATGCTTGGAGCCATTTCGATGCAACGAGCATCCAAATGGTTTGGCCACCATGCAGACTGCACACAGCGTCTTCTGCAACTTTACGGACCAGCATTTGAGCTTGTGCATCATGGCTTTGGTGATGCTGATTGCTCCAGTGGGCTTCTTGGCAGTCTCTTCTTGGATCCTCGCGAAAGAACTCCCTAGACGTGTGGCCCAAGGGGACACGAACTTCATCCGAATGACTTCATTCTTGACGATGAGGTTCAAGCCAGGAGAGTCGGAAAGTCCCAGTCATGTATTTGTTATTTTGATACTCTGGAATAATTATGTATATTATATTTGTATATATATATATACACTACAGTATTACATATTGAATGCTCACAAAAAATCGATCCGACAAAAGATATCAACCATTGAGATAGAGGGGAAGAGCATGGAATAGCGGTCATGTCCTTTCTCCGCGGAAATGCCTTCATCGTCCAAATTTTGCCGTATCCTTTCTGGCACATTCTGGCACTTCATGGACCGAAAAGAATTGAGAACTTCAGCACCATTGAAATTGTAGAGATTTCGTGCAAAAGTTAGCCAATTATGAGATGAAAATTGAGGTAATGCCTGGAAGAAAAGGATCGTTTTTCAGTGAAGAAGCTATTGCGTAATAGGTTATGAGCTTCTTTTGAAGGGCTTGCCACGTTAAAGATTAAAATCTTGAGAAACAACCCAAAATATACAACACACTGGACAAATCCTGCCAGAACTCCCGAAGTCAGTTTTCTTGGGGTTGCAATGCCGTTTTGGGGAGCTATTCCACAGCCAGTGGGAGTGGGTAGGAAAGAAAAGGTTTGATATTGATTGTACAGGAGCCTGGCAACCATGTTTCCTTCTATTAATCCTAAGGCGGGATGATGCAACACGGCCAAAGTTCTTGTCATTTGAGACATGATGAAATTCCCAAGTCTCCGAAAAATATATCATTCCGCGGACGATGCGGATGTCCCCTTAGTCCGCGGAGATTTCGATCACCTTGGAACATGATTGTATAATGTGTTTGACAGGTTTCTCTAAGTTTTTCGGTCATCGTGTTTTCATCTTTTTTGTAACTGGAAAGCCTTGCAACGCTCTGTTGCTTTGAAGACAACTAGTTGATGCTGCTTGGGTAGTTGTCCTGGAACTCATTGCGCACTCTAGCCTACAGAGAGGTACCGGGTCTAAAAATTTGAGATCTTGAGGTTTGCAAAGGCAGTTTGGAGTTCGGCAGGATATGAAGCCTTCACGGTGATCTTTTTGCTTCGCAACATGTTCATTCCCTTCACGCCGATGTTCTCCACCGCTTTTAGCCTTTTTGTCCGTGCCCTATGAATATAGTTCACAGTATCAGTGAGAGAGCTTGCATTATGAATGATCTCGAGATTTTCCTGTAGGCCTGACAGAACAGGAATGTATTGTCACGCAAGAAGCAGACTCGACACCTTAGGTGCTGGGCTTACTTTTGATGGCGAGTGTAATCTTGGTGACATACTACAAGCCTTGGCGCTCGATCCTCGCCACCCAGGTAGACATTGCTGGGCAGGCTGTTCTGCTCGTGCTCTTGTCATCTTGGATGCGCTCAGTACACCGATTGATTTAAACAATTGTATTAAACATATAATAACTAGGTCACACCGCCCGCAACGACTCCACGCGAAACGCGCACTTTCTTCCAAGGTGCGATGGGTCACCCTCACAGCACCCTTACAGCACTTCGGTCACCCTTACAGCACTTCGGCAGTCTGGGGGTTTAAAGCACGTCTACAAAATACTGTGTTTTACAAAAGAAAGTTGCATGATTGTCCCGTTTACAGTGGGATTGTAAGATGAACATGGTTCCCATTGCCAAACAAAACCGACTCAAAGTGCTAGCCGCTAGCCGCCAGCCGTCGGATTTCTTTCAAATGGTCACGCGTATCCGTGCGCCACACAAAGGGGCACACGTACTCCCTGATCTGGCTGTTGAGGCTAGCATTCGTTTTGGAAGTAAGTTCTTTAGGGATGCACTTCTTCAAGCTTTGCCACATGCGGTCAAGGCGTTGCGCACCAGATTCCCGAACAGACCTTTGGGAGGATTTGCGAGTGATTTCTGTCAGGTCTCACATTCTATATGACTATATGTACATGACTGACGCCTTTGCCTCAAGCTCACGGAAAACAACCGCTTGCTTCGCACTTGCATTCGCACTTGCATTCGCACTTGTCATTACACTTTGTGTCGTCGCTGCGGGACCACTCTCAGAGATGGTGTTCTTTCCAAGGGAACTCCACTGCTTGCATGCACTTCCGTGTGACCCCACCTCCCTGTCAAGAGAATCGTACACACTTTCTTCACTTAACGTAGAAGGGAACGTCGTGCACACTTACACATGCACTTTTTTTTCCTTTACCGTAGAAAGGAGCGCCAACACCGTCTTCATGTTACGTAGACATGACCCCAGAGCATCAGTCTTCTAACAACAGAATACAGAATTCATTAGCAACCGAGCGTTATTTGATTATCCCTCATCCCATCCTCACCGGCGTGAGAAAATATGCACATGAATTCGGATTGCCGCTGGGAAGATACTGCTGTTGTAGGCGCAAAACGCCAAAAAACAGGGTTGTTATAGCTGGCGTGAACAATAATTAGAAGATATTAGAAGTACTCAAACAACATGGGAATCTATTTTTTTGCGCGCTCCTGGAAAACCATTAAGCCAGATAGAAGAGGTTCCTATTTAAGGATTTAAGGGCGGGCTTCAAAAAGGATGGATTCTTTGCCTGTCATGTGTTTTTGTTTGTTTTTGGTCGCTTGTTCCAAAAAGTACGGTTCACAATCAGCAGAGTACTTGTCCCAAAAAGTCAACCCAACTTGGTGTCCCAGGTTCAACCGACCCTGGCACTCTAGAGCCTTTTTGGGCCAACCCCCCAAAAAGTTAAACACACATACGGGAAGGTTTCCCAGACATCCTAAATCGATCTTATGGTTGGCGGGGCTGGCTCGCTTTGCATTCAAGAGAGCCGACGAGGTTGTTGAGCGGTTTGAGCGTTCAAGACGAAGATCTCACTGCAGTGATGATCCTTTGCACCATCGTGGCCTCTCTCCTCGTCTTTGTCATCGTTCTGGCAGCAGGATATTCCTTCGGGCAGTATGTCAGAAGCAAGATCCATAAACCGTACCGTTTCTTCTTATGTCACTTGCTTCAGACTTGTTTGGAGGGGGTGGGACTTCCCAAATGTTTCAAGAACGTTTATGTGATGGTCTAGAATAGATCTTTTGGCTGGAGTCCTCTTCACAGAGTGTTTTCTTTTGGTTCGTTGCCACACCCAAAAGATGGAGACGACGTATATATATATATATATGTTGAAACTCACCAAAGCGCAAGCGAACAGCCGAGCAACCCTATAAGCGGTCTTGGTTCGTGGGAGCTCCGGTTTGCTGAGGAACTTTATTTTGTCATTTCTGGTTCCGCACCCCATGCCCATGTTGTCAACAGATCTTTGCAGGGGTAGGCCCTGAGCACTCTATTTTAATTTTTGCAGGGTGCCTAGGCAACCTGTCGATAACACAAGGGTCTAAATATAAATATATACGTATTATGCTGACTCTTGATCAACACCCATATGGGCACTTCGGCCCGAACCCTCTCCCCACATCAACCTATGTGCAGTTGGTTCGCCTGTGATGTGGCTGGGAAACACGCATTCGAAGCGAGCGCCGCCATGGAGGATCCACAAGTAAGCTACCGGACAGCTACCGGTGGCAAAGGAAAGATCCACAAGTAAGCTGTTGTTGTCTGGAGGAGCGGATTTTGCGGAGGCGGCAAAAGGATGGAGCTGCAAGGTGCCACGTCCAGATGATGAATGGAGAAGCGAGCAGGACCCTTCAGAGTAAAGTTGCCCATGTCCGCCTTCGATGCCCTTTTGAAAGGTTCGCCTGAGGGGTGGTATATCAGGCATGGATTCCGGATGGTGTCGGTGTGCAGTGGCTATTGCGTCGCCTGCTGAAGATAGTAAAGTAAAGATGATGCCCCGCGGCCCTGCGGGAACTTTCCTATGAGGAGTTGCTCATGATCATGCTTGTTGTCACGGCTATGCAGCAGTGCGAGAGACTAGTCAGTGCAACCTGCAGATATGAGTACCTACAGCCCTTGCTCTGTAAATCCTGCGGCGTATGGATTTCGGGGGGGCTCGGTTTTGCGCCGCACTTATGATGTACAAGATGCCATGAAGAATCTCCCCAGGAAGCTGGAGAAGGAAGCGTGTGAGGTTGTTTGATTCTGGACCACCCCATGCACAGACCCAGCCTACTGCGTCAAAGAAGAAATGCAAGATGAGCCAGGTGGAAATGAACTGCCTCCTCATTGGGACCATGTCAGCCAGAGAATCGTGCAAACATGTTGTATAACGCAAATGAAGCTAGGAGTCATGGGCTTTGCCATAGCAAAAGATGCAGGCGCCTGAATCCAGTGTACCGTGTGTTTCCTTGATGACTGATGTCTGCTGAAAGGTGGAAGCGGAGGATGCACCATACTTATCATTCATTTGCGGGTCCCACCAATGCACACGCCGCCCAGGATGGGGGTACCGTGGGACAGCTTATTCAATCTTGGAAATTGGAATGATCCTGTGATCCTGCAAGCTACGCATGTACTAGTGTCTAATCGAGCATTCCCGCCACCCATGACATTCGCCGCAGCAAGCCAATGCTTGATTCCGATTGCTATATATATGTTCCAAGATGTCCCGACGGTGCTTTTGGTGCGTTGAAGGAACCACTGGACTACGGTGAAATGTACTAAGCGTGAGGATGGATGGTGCGTGACCCTTGCACATTCCTGCAGCGTATCAAACCTCACCAAACAGAGATTTGCGCACGTGTCAAAAGCCCTCCAAACATGTGGCTGCGTGGCTTCGCGTGGTGCCTGTCGGGGTTGGGAGCTGTCTCAACAGATCAAGAACTTTTTTCCAATGGAATCGATACCTGGCTGGAGCCACAGATGACAGCAATCTGAAGCACTTTGCGTCTACCATCAGACGAAAACGCCTGGCGACACATGGACCACGTGCGTAGAATAAATAGGAACCAGGCAGAGAATTCGTTGGAGTCTTGGAGGTGCCAGTGCGGCCAGGCCCAGGCGTCGGCGTCCTGAAAGGAGCCTCAGCCCAGGTACTACTGTTACTTATTATGCCCAGGATTTGTGCAACAAGTGCTTGTTTCAAGGGAGGGTATAGAAGTTCCATGGTTGAAGCACCGCTAGTAAAATCGGCCCATTGCGGTGTGAATGTTTTCTTCAGGTGCTTACAATATATACCAAGGCAAAGACTGTATCATTTTGGACTAACAAGCATGGCGATTCATGGGCTATATGTCTCTTAAGATTCTTAAGTACCAGTCGCATGATCACACGGTGCAGCGTGCCATTGTGGATTTTGGGGCAGTCACTGGCTCATTTCGCGCAAATCAAATTCAGTTTCAACGCTGCCCAGAGAAAGAAAGCTTCCAGGATTAACGGTTCAGGAAGATAAGGGGTTTGAGAATGTCTGAGATAGTGCTTTTGCCTAGCCGGACACGTCGGTATTGACCAGGCATTCATTTCAGACATCAACCTTCATGTCTGAAGCCTGTTGAAGGTACGCGTTCAGAACCGGATCTGTATGGAACTGATGGAACACGTGATGTCTCAACTGGCCCAATCGCGGCGCGTGTGCGCTGCGTGGGCGGTTGGCATAGATTTGTTCGCTATGCTCCAACAACGTTGCGCAGGATGTCCAACAAGAAAACCCAATGCTTACCACAAAAACGCGCGTTTCCCATTATTCCAAAATCATAAAAGATGGCAAATTCGTGGGATCAGCTCACAATGATGATTTGCCAGGTCCATAACCATTACACCGTATACGGGGCCCGCCATAACCCCACGAAAACCTTGGCGACCATCATATCATATACCCACAAGCTTTCACACGAGGCGGGAGTAACCCTCGGTTCCATTCAACTCCCGAAATTTCGCGACAGGTTTCTACATGTAGGGAGGATCTTGACCAAATTCCTCAACCATCGAGGTGGGTGTTTAGCAACGTTAGCAACTCGTTGGTTTGACACTTGATGTGAGAGCCTCGTGCTTTGTTGAATTCTAGAGCGTTCGCACCATTCGATTTCACAACCTCGTGTCCCTCATTTCATTGTTATATAGATTCTTGTGTAGGCGACCGGCAACGAGCTCCCTTCTGAAAGACAAGGGGCTCGTTGCGACCGAGACCATCGAAATCTGTGCATGCACGCCCCATAGCAGTTCCATTCTTCAATGCGCCGGAACAAACAGAACTTGCCCAGATGATGGATGCAGGTTGTTCAAAGCAGATTTCTTCATGGGAGATCCCACTGCACTCTGCTGGTTGACTTCTTGTGTGTTCGTAGTTTGGTCTTGGTTCACTCTTTCTATGTACAACTTGCGCTGTGAGACCATGAGTGTCCGCAGTGATGCGTGATCACGTCCTAAGAGGGGACGTCGTTCAGGACGGACCGCAAGGGAGGTGATGAAGAATTTTAAATTCCAAACGTTGGGTTTTTTGTCAGTCAAACATCACTACTAATTATCATGTCCTGGTCAGTCACAGGGAGTGTCCTTCTGACCAGTGCACGTCAGGTCACCACAAAGCGGCAACGGCTGCATTGGCACGTTGGTTGAAGATGGAACTTGAAGGCACGGACTCTTCTTCTCCTTCTGGACCACTGATGAAATGGATTGAAACAAAAGGCATATGATGTCACGTGGTGTACGTCACACTTCGCCCGAACAGTCGGAGGGAAAAAACGTGGAATGGAAGGATGGGTGACTTTCTTGCCAGTGGTTTGTAGTGGACTGAAGGTAGATGGAACAGTCCCCAAGGTTCGGCGCATGCTGTCGGAGTGTCCACTGACGACACCTCTCCCGATTCCTTCCGGGTTTTCCAACTGAGCCATGAAAAGGATCTCTCCTTTCCACCCCAAATAAATCCAAATACAGTTGGTTCTCTTGCAAAATTTACATCTCTTGGTCACAGGGCCTCCCACTTTCAAATGACATCATTTCACAGAAGGTCTTGAAGAACATAGGAGTCCATCAGCAAGAACCACTGCCAAATTCCACTACATTCCTAAAATGCAGGTAACATTTCAGGGTTATGGTGGACACAGTGCCACTTGATTTCAATATCGTCTCGGACAGTTTTCCTGTTCTGTTGGCCTCTCCGGCTTTGTGGCACGAATCTGAGCAGCGGATCAGCGGATCGAATCAAGACATTTTGGGCCTGAGAGGATTTGGACAGAGTCTGGAAGATGGAAATCTTAAGACATTTTAAATGAGCACGGGTCAACGCCTGGAGCTGTGGTTTATTGTGTAGTTTGACCTTCTAATAGGTCAACCAAGGCATCCTGCTAGCCAAATCAGATATCCAATTTTTTCAAAGTGTTTTGTTCTCTAAGTTGGACAGCTTTGGTGGGTGACTGGAGGATCCAAGTGGCAAAAAAGATGTGACAGATCCATGTCGCTCACCCGCGATGTTTGTGGTGTCAGGCTGCGGGGCGCGTTTCAAGACCTTTATCGACCTGGACAGTCTCACTGACCTTACTCAGCTCTTCTCATATGTGAGTGTCCTGTTTTTCTCGACCGTGCGTCGCGAGCGTCATCGATTCATTCGTGGGAGAAGCAACCATTCCGGTTGGCTGTTTTAGAGCTGAGGTCGGTTGGGCGTGTCCGGCGGAGTGAGTCTTTACCTCACAGGGGATCTTTGGGTGTGAAAGCAATCGGGTGTGTTGATCAAGTGCAACTGTATCGAGAAGTTCAGAGACCCAATTCATCTGGTCATAGTGCGGCTGTCTTGAAATCCAGATAATCCAAAGTTCTTGTGGTGGAATCCAATCAAACACCGTGAATCTCTGTACAAGCTGGGCGTGTTGCGCTGAGTGCTCGACAGTCCCTACTATATAGAGCCTGCAAATTCTGATACCATTCCAGGATATTTCTGAACGTCACCCTTTGTCCGCCACACCTGTCACCCAGGTGTGTTTTCTTTTTTTTCCGGCGAGTCAACCTAAGCGACTCATCCCGGGCGACTCATCCCAGGTACCCAAGTGGAGACCTTGGCAATCCTGGGAAGCCCACAACTGGTGATGCGGAAATGGTGTGTTGGAGAGATCGTCACGGCCAGACTCTTCAATGTGCCTTGGTTGCGCGCTTTGGGGGTTTGTTGGTCGTGATTCTTGTGATGTGGTTGTGATTGTGATAGTTTTCTATATTGTGTTGATTGATGTTTAGTGTTTAACTACTTGACGTTGGTGTGACTGTAATGTTAACGTTGTGGTTTTTGGTTGTTAGTTGTTGGTCGTTGTTGTGGTTGTGGTTGGTGGTTGTTGGTTGTTATTGGTTGTTGTTGTAGATGCTGTTGTTGTTGGTGGTTGTCGTCGTTGTTATTGTTGCATTAAAGCAAAGATAAACTTTGAGTGGTTGCGGGCCGGTCGCAGCAGATCCCAACCGAATCCACTTCTTCGTCGAACTTTCTCTTGGCTTCTTCAGTAGCGCCTGAAGACGTATTTGTTTTCTAACTGATCTCCTCCACACTTGAACTCATGAACATGGATGCATCAAGAGAAATATAACGTGCTTCAAGTGAATAGCGCATGCTTGCGCATGCTTGCGCATATCAAGGTGCAGGCGGTGCTGGTGAGTTTGCCGGACTTCAGCCTACCAGATGAAGATTTCATCAACGACTATGGTGCCAATGTGCCAGAGATCATTGACCTCACGACCTATGGTCACTGGACCATTTCATGGGCTGCGACGGACAGAGTTTGGCTGAAAATCCATTTGGATTGATATTAGATTCTTAAGATTGCTAGTTATTTGGATTTGTGTGCATGTTGGTTCAGGATTGTTTGCGTTGTTGGTTTTGAGGTTGTTCTGTTGCAGCTTACGTAAACATGTCGAACAATGACAGGTGTCTTTAGTGTCATCGTACATCATTGTACCTTTGCCCATGTATATAAACTGTCACCGGCGTCCAGTCCAAGAATGCAAGTGTTTGCGATCTTTCTTCATGAAAAGTGGTCTCCATCGTGGGGTAAGGATTCCGCGCCGGACTGGAAATCGTCTTCAGTGGAATCATAAAATCAGGGACCTTCAATCAAGGAAGAGCCAATTTTCATCATGGAATCATGGCTTGTGGGGTATGTTGGGCGGAAGGCGACCGAAGCTCCCTTGACCGTGAAAAGATCCCATGTCCACCGATCGTCCGGGTGGCTTTCTTGCTCAAAGAGAGAAACTGGGATTTCCCAACGTCCGGAATTGGCCGAACTCCAACTGAAGACATCCATTCTTGCTGGGGAAGTGTTTTCTGTCCGGAGCACCGTGCTGCCACCAGTCAACCGATTCCCTTGAATACCGATTTCATCGACTTGTGGTCACTGGCGGATTGACCGATGACCGAAGATGGGAATGGTTCGAGCGATGACCGACGATTCCTTTTGATTTGGATATCGTTGGAATTGGAAGTCCCATTCAAATCTCAAGGTGGACAACCACCAAAGGAACAGACAGTCAGAATAAATCCAAAGGAATAACCAAGACTGTCGACTATGACATGGAAATCAGTCCGAGCTACAAAAGAATGAAAGGATGTGAATGGTTTGAATGGATATATGATTTATTATCAAAGGAAGAAAGGAATTTAAAAAGAACAAGGATATGAGACATAAGTGATGAACGATAAAACAACAAGCAACAAAATATGCTGCCAAGACATTTTAAGGAATGGAATGAACAGTTGCAAAGGACATTCACAGGAGTGAAGGAACATCATAAGAAACTAGAGGAAACAGCAGGAACCAACAATGATACCCAAAGAAAGGATTTGCAAAACACATTGACTTGAAGCTATTTTGAAGTGCCCCGGCTTTACAATGAACTGACAGTCAAACATGTTGGACTTGTGTCGAAGTCAATGGTTTGGCAAAAGGACAACGACATGCATGCGCTATTACTTACATTTACTTACATGGTTTATGTTGAATCCCAATTGCAATCTTCGCAGATGTACTAAAACACTAGTCACTATGACATCATCCAACATGGCTTCCACTCACAAGGGCCATGTTCATGTGAAACAAAGCTTCCTTCTCGTGCGTCTTGCGTCCTGCGTATCGACGACTCGGAGCTTTTCAGGTGACGGACTGTCCTTGTTCATGTGCTCTTTAGACCTTTGCAACCCCTGAAAAAAATCAAAGTGGATGGATTGGCCCCTTGGATGACCATGTTCCTCTTCAAAAACAGCTGTTACACTCCACTTCCAGTGAGTGCAGAGTAGACCAATTTTTATGTGTCCAGATTTTTGCGAGGTTACGGGCTCTCTGAAGTGAAAGCGTCCCTGCGATGGCTTTGGACCATGAAGACGATTCGCGTGAAGAAGGTCTCTGCAAGGAGTGTGGCTGAGATCGTGGCTTTGCTGAGCTATACAGATACATCCATCCCATGTTTCTTCGAATGTTTCTAATGATCGAAACAGAATCCAATCAATCTTCAAAAACGAGGAGCCACTTCTTTGTCTAGTTGGGTCCACTTTCGAGACAAAATCAAGGTTGGAGAGCTCACGGAGATCGGGCACAAGAGCGGTGTGAACGACGGCCTTCATGTTCCAAGCATTGGTGGTTGCATTGTGGTCGACCACGACAACACTGAAGCCTTAGCTTCCCAGAACTGAATATGGACATGAATATGGTGTTTTCGTGCATTTCCCCGCTTCCGGGAGCTGTCTTTAGTAGTATTGTCGGAGAGTTTTGAGAATCCCTTTCTCAAAGATCTTTGGATTGTTGGATGTTTCCCGGATCCTAGCAAACGCCAAGGCTGCAGCCCATGTCTTGGCGCGTTTCCTGGCCCCAATGACAATGGATCGTGGCGTGCCAATCATGGTGATCCCCCCAGAAGAACCAGAGCAGCAGCTACAGCAAATTCAGCCCTCAGTCCTGATCTTGATGTGCTCCAAGAACTGCTTTGTCTCTTCATATGTGACCAAGTGTGTTCTCAAAGCACGCTTCCTGGAGTCTTGTTCAGTTTTGCCCGTGATTGCGGATGATGACTTCGTCATCCCGGAGAAATCAGGCCGTGGTCACAAAACAAGTTGCATGCGATCAATGCCAATTAGTATGTAGTAGTATGATGCAAATGGCTGGCAGCAGTTCTTTTCGACAAACCAGCGGGGTTTATACGCTATCTATCCATATACTCCATGCATAGCGCGTTAAGTACAAAAAAGGGTGGTTTCAGTGGTTGTAAGGACGCTACTAGGGCCTCCTGCATCGCTACTAGGAGCAAGGACGCTACTAGGGGCTCCTGGCCTTACTACTAGGAACAAGAAGCTGTTAGAAACAAGAATTGTGGTTGTAAGAAAACCACGTCCGTGAGATCGCATTGATATCTTCCGTCCATTTTCCACAGATGGATTCTTCTGGGTGGAGACTGCCCTCACCCGTCGTCTCGGCCCTTTTTCGAGACAGAGACAAGGTGAAAACCGAGGTGATGAGGGTCGATGCCCATGCTTCGAACGCTGAGAAGGTAAGTCGTGTGCGTTTTGTGTATATTTGTGTATTGGTGGAACCCCGCTGCTATATCTGTGTTCCGGAAATATATCAACATTTATCCAGGGCACTTGGACAATACTAAATCTCAAGTGTCAGCAATGTGAGAGTGCATCTCCAGTCCAAAAACTCCACGCCGGGTGCGAGTCAAAACCAGTGGACCGACTGACCACCCCAAATGAACAGAGACTACCAGACATGGTCAAGCGTCCATTTTTGGGTGGCTGAGTATTTGACCCACTGGAATAGACACTCTCCATTGACCCACACAAACAAATCATCTGAAGCTTGGCAAATACGTTAGTCCCATGGAGCCCAAATCGGATCTGGACCGTCCAACTGTTGTTGAAGGTGGCCCAATTGCTGATGAGGAGGATGCTGAGGCGATTCATCGGGTGCTTACAGCGGTCTTCTTGGAAGTGGCACTGCCTTTTGTTTTGCGGAGCAGTTCAGAGGACCCCTTTCGTGGCAGTTTTAGGTCCCGCTGGGCATGGCGCCCGGGCTGTGTTTCGGCGGCGGCTTTTCGTGGAGGTACCAGGGGACCGACCGGAACTCACGAACTCACGAGAAGTGTTAGTGGTGTTAATATCCATGACCTTTTTGGGACCTGCACAGTAGGCTTGAGTCGAGCTGTTTCTCGTCGAAATTCCTTTGTATGATTTAAGGGCTTACGCCCGACAGCCGGCCAGGGGCGTTGAGGTAGGGGGCTTTGGGTGCGGGTGCAGGCTGAGGGAGTGGCCGTAGCGATGTTGGGCGGGCTTGGGGCTATGTTGCGCACAGCTTGGGTCTAGCTTAGGCCATCTGGAGCCTTTGTTGCGCGGTCTTGGGGCTATGTT